ACAGGGCATTTAAGTTTCATTTCGATCGTCTCCTTTTTTGATATCATCCGAAACAATGAACTTAATTGAACAAAAATAACTTGCTACTGCGAAGTATTTTGAGGTGTCGAAGTCGATCCAAGTGTTATTATTGCTCTTCCCCATAAGAAGCGCTACTTACACGTCTTCTTCTGTTTTGAAGATTCCTAATTTCTTCGAGCGTACTAGCACTTCTTTCAGTGAAAGAAAAATTTGTCCTTAATCATATCTACGTAAAATAGCTACCACTGTTACAAGTTGCTATGAGCAATAGTTCTCTAGATATTTGGGCTTGGAAATTTCAAGTTGATCACGTATCTTGGATACGAAGCGTTTCCGGACATACACTCATTTGGACGATTCATATCAGAATATTGTGACAAATCACCGCCTGAAATTTGACAAAGTACTCTCGATTCACCCTGTATGTAGCCGTGTCTCCGCTCTCACGGCCTGGCCCGACTGCCTATTGGTATTTTCTCCTGTAGTACGACGCAACCTTAGAAAAATTCATACCGAATCACGTGAGAGGATTCTACACGATTTTTTATCATTTGGCTCTACATTCTGTTCTGCGTTGGGACACCATGTTAGAAAAGGCAATCTAGAACAATTCACCGGGAAATTGAGCAATTCTCTTGTGCAGGTCCGATTTGAATGCGATTTTTTGCATTATTTTTGAAAAACCGTAGAATGAATGTCCCTTCTCTTTCATTGTCGGGAGGTGGCTGAGGTGCATCGCGGGTGCATAAAAGTGCATCTGGAAGTGCATTGCATATGGTGAACATGCCAAATTGAACGAAACACCACGTAAATTAGTACTAGAGAGTTTTGGATGCTCTTAATTCGAATATGCATGTACCAAATTCTCCCGACCATCCCAAGTGATTTCTGAAGGTGGCACGTGTATTCCAGAATTTTCTGAATAGCTGGTAAAATGCTCCTCGAGAACTTTTCACGGTCGCTGATATGGTATTCAAGGAAAAAAATACCCCTTGTGCACGTGAGAGGGGGCGCGAGAGTGGAAAAGGAGCGCGGTTTATGAATCAGATTCATGAACTTGTAGCATAGAAAAACTACCTAGGAAGATTATTCCTACAATTTAGAGATTCCTGAAGTCAACGTGTCCCTACGCTTCCTTAGTTCTTCGAATTTAGCGTATCTTAAAACACCTCAGTCCTAATTTTCGTGGCAGTAGATTCTATCACGAGTAGAAAGAACGACATCTTCTGATCGTGTCGATGTTGTTTGTTATGGTTTGCCTCAGTTTACAGGTTCGAAGACCATCTTCCTTCCGCTCTCGTGCTTATTGCATTTATGAATGATAAGATTAATATGAAGTGGATCGAAAATGTTCGAAACCGTCTGATCCCCTGCACATACGTTTCAGAAATTACAATCAAAATTATCAAAATAGTGACTCCATCAGAGTAATGCATAAAATTGGTTTCAATTCAGCGAACTGATACCTGCTATACAAGTGCAGTCAAGTTTATGTCACATACCATTTAGTCCAAGCGTGAAATTCGACATGGAATGAAAACAGTCAAGTATAAAACCTCAAAAAATGAATCCAAAGTATAATCAGATCAGATCAAAATCTGTCTGACTGTTTTTATGTACTACAATGAACACGCATTTGATTCTCGAAGTAGATATTGTGTCTCACAGAGCAAAATTTTTTGTGCAAAAATCTAGTGCATCCTAAGTGCAGGAGAATGTTGAGCCTGTTATTATTGGCAAATCAAAAAACATTTTGTTTTTCGTAATGCGGTATACTTTCTCTAAGTATGCGCCGTACCCTAGTGGACAATGCCAATACCTAACCGCGACTTCACCTAATATACTGTATGTTAGCACAAACTCCGTCCACCGTGATACATTATCTTCAAACATCTTCGATTGACTCAGATACACTCGACGTTAGCACATTGCACTATACTGGGCTTCAGCAAAGCTACCTATTATAATAGCCGCATTTTTTGTATTATTTTCGATTTTCTTTCCGAAATGGGTGAAACTCAGTTGAAAATACGTTAATTCGCACCAGAAGAATATGATAGGAGTAGTTTCTTTTGAGAATAGTACACATGCGGGTGAATCGAAGTGAAGAAGATATTGATTCCTATACACAATGTAGTAAATGGATCGAAATATTCAGAAGAACCTCTCAGATACAATGATTTGAGCAAAATTCTCTGTATAATTTCAGACTTTAACAAAATCAAGACCGAAGATCGAATTCAGAGAAAGAGTTGATTCAAAGCAAAGGGTTGTAATGCGAGTGTCGACAACAAAATTTTAAAGATCAATTGGATTACCATATGGAATAACCATTATCTGAAGAATGGATGCTATAATTGAGGTACTCTACGTGAATCAGTTTTAGTCTTGATTGATGCTGAATATGGTAATCGGAATGAGGAAGCGTTCATCTACTTGCAAACGCGGATTCCACTAAGTAACTCTTCTATAATAAATTTCATAAGGTTCGCTTGGTTTTTCATCAATTTTTTCGTCATCATAAACGATGTTTCATCCACTTTCACTTACACGCAATTCAAAAACAGATTGAAAGCACGATAATTCAATGAACCTGATGAAGCTATAGTTTATGCAGTCAGTTGATACAGAACATCAAAGGAATGTCGGGCAGCGCGGCCGCTCTCTTTGAACTTTCAAAGGAATACCGACGGCTTGCGGTGATGTGTTGTATCAAGTGACTCTTCATAGACTCCATCAGCATATTATGATGACTCTACTGGAAGCTGGAGCACAGTATATTTAGTGCGATGTGATGACGCCGAGTATAAAGGTGATCTTTGAAGATATGACTCACATATTACAGTGGGCGTATGGTTCCTGCCAACGTGAAGTATAATCATTAAGTACAATCGCGGCCCGCCTGCGTATTGGCATTGTCTCCTATGGTACGACGCAACCTGAGAAAAATGTATGCCGAATCGCGGAAGATAATGTCCCACGATTTGGCAATGATATGCGCGACATTCTCTCCTGCTTAAGGACGCTACGTGCTGAATATTGAAGCGTCTGAACACAAGGTAAAACTGCATTTAGCATGCGATGGTTTTTTTTTCGAGATTTTTTATTGGTACTTACGTATTTTTGTCTGAAAAACACGAATTTGATAATGAAAATGTGAACAAACCACTATTTATCGAGATATTTCGAAAAAAAGTTCGAAATTTGGACTCCTTTTTCCCCTTGCGTTGGATGCATTTTCAGGTACTTGCTCTTCTTATTTTGTCATTGGACACTTCATATATATATTTTTTTTCGCAATTGCATACCTCGTTGGTCCCAGCACTGATGGGACCAAACGCCCCATAAGTCGAAACTTGTGCGGGGTTAGATATACATACAAACATGATGTACTTCAATGACACATTTTTATACAGAAAATTCAACAAGAAATATGATTTTTATGGTGCGTTTTTCCTATTTAGTGACCAAGCATACCAGATGACGGCCATTTTATCCATAGGCATTAGGCAATCCAAATACGAGATGTCAAATGTCAATAGATTGCTTTGGAATTTGGAATGACATTACACGCCATTATTTCAAATGATATTCTTCCTTCTTTTCAATAAATATGAATGAATCACAAGAAAATCATATTTCTACTTGACTCAATAATAGAGAAAAATGTGTCTTACATTGTGATATACCGGGTGGCTACGGAAGTATTGCCTACGGAATATCTCAGTTATTGTATGAAGTAGGTTTGTGAAATTTGGAGCGTCGATATAATGACATAAGAGCTAGAATTTGAGCATATTGACATGTCGAAGTTAACTTCCGGTCTGACCGGAAGTAACATCAACTTTCTTATTTTAAATGGAAACCCTATTCTTTTTTCTTTTTGCTTTATTCAGCATTCAATTCCCTTTCTAATGACATATCACAAGTTGGTATCTAACCAGAAACTAGATCAGAAAAAAATTATTATTGAAATTCACCGAGTAGGCCGTGGAAGCAGAATGAAAGCCAAAAATTGAAAAGTTGGCTATGGAAACTATACGTCACTTGATAACAGTTGCTACTACTGTGATATTTTATTTTCATTCGTCGGCGTTATAAAAAGCCGCCAAAAAAATATTGGAAAAATTGGGAAAAAAACAATACTCTGTAGGTCCATAACTTAAATAGGAACATACAACTTTTTCTTGCCTGTACTATTCAGCATAACCATTCCTTTCTAATGATATAATAGAAAGTAATTTTTTGAAATGAAATACCAAAAAATCTAATTATTATTCTTCAAATAACAAAACAGATTATCGCCATACGCATAATTTTTTTCTGATCTAGTTTCTGGTTAGATACCAACTTGTGAAAAGATAAAAAAATAGGGTTTCCATTTAAAATAAGAAAGTTGATGTTACTTCCGGTCAGACCGGAAGTTAACTTCGACATGTCAATGTGCTCAAATTCTGGCTCTTATGTCATTATATCGACGCTCCAAATTTCACAAACCTACTTCATACAATAGCTGAGATATTCCGTAGGCAATACTTCCGTAGCCACCCGGTATATAAATTGTCCAATGATGAAAAAAGAAGGGTAAATTGTTTCAAATTCAATCCAGAAGACAGGCGGAAAAGAAGGTGAATTTTGTAACTTTATAGTAAAATATCTTGATAAATAATGGTTTGTTCACATTTTCATTATCAAATTCGTGATTTTCAGACAAAAATACGTGAGTACCAAAAAAAATTTTCGAAAAGAAGCCCATCGCATGCTAAATGCAGTTTTACCAAGATCCAGACGCTTCAATATTCAGCACATAGCGTCCTAAAGCAGGAGAGAATGTCGCGCGTATCATTGCCAAATCGTGGGACATTGTCTTCCGCGATTCGGCATACATTTTTCTCAGGTTGCTTCGTACCATAGGAGACAATGCCAATACGCGGCCCGCCTGGCCCACTTTTCTGTTGCAGGCGTCGTCCTCTTCTCCTCGATCGTCTACTTCGCCGAAGCCGGCACCGAGCAGTCCTTCTTCAAGTCCATTCCTGACGCCTTCTGGTGGGCCGTCGTCACCATGACGACGGTCGGCTACGGCGACATGAGGTACAGTGTCGGCCGCGAGCCATGGTCTAACTCACCCGGTCCTCTTCTCCTTCCTTACAGGTGTCGTGCTCTTCTCTAGCGCCGTCTACTTCGCCGAGGCCGGTAGCGAGAATTCCTTCTTCAAGTCAATTCCGGACGCGTTCTGGTGGGCGGTGGTCACCATGACGACCGTGGGCTACGGCGACATGACGTATGATGTACAAACCTAATTCGAATTTAGTTGCCTCCACCGTAGCTCTATTATATACAATACATTGATTGCTCTTTCTTGATCGCGACACTTTTAGATACAGTCAGTCACATGCCACCGCCGTCGTGAGGGCTGAGAGGGTCTGCTTTCCGAAAAAATAACGCTAGGTTTTCACCTCGATTCATTCATAAATCATTGGGGAGTATACGCCAAAGGTCCAAAAACTGGAACAAATATTGTTGAACGGAATCGCGGGAGGTAGGAAGTCATTGCCAGTGTGGAAGGAAGAAAATTATTCTCACAGATTAGACAATGCCGAACCATAATAATCCACGAAATGGTTCATATTTTTGAAAGAGTGATTGAAACACTGAAAACTAATCAAACAATAACTTAAAAACCTCTAATAAGAACAAAATCTACGAACTTTGCGGTACCGCCACGTTCATATTTGAGAGATTCATATTTTGAATCTTGTCATGGTACTTTACTTGAGCATAACTGGTTCTTGATGGGTATTGTTGCTGGATATACAACAATTATGTTGTTATGGAGTTATTTATTATCATCATTATTATTTCTTCGTCATGAGCTATCTTTGCTGAATTGAATGAGATGTTTGATTCAAACATTCCTATTGGATCATCGGTTTGACAGAAAACGTCAGAATGTTATGTCTTTCCTCCAGAAGGAATGAGTAAGATGATTCACTGTCTACAACTAGTCTCATTTTATTCATTGTGCAAAATTCACCATTAGACACAATACGGAAGCTAATTTATTTATTTATTTATTTATTTATTGAAAATCAAATAGGATAATGACAGACCCCAAGGTCCAGATTGTTATCCACAATTATTACATAGTTTCATGGTGTACATATAAATTAATAACCCAAAAACTAAAATAAGTTTGAAAAATTTGATAATGAAGTAAATAAGATTTATCATTGAAATGATTACAATTTGCTGAATATTCTATGCACTGTGAGAATTGTATATGTATCTGATTTTTTTTTGAAAACATTCAGTGAGGATTGAAAAATATCTACAGAAAACAACTTTCGATTGTACAGATTTTTCATTCTATGTAGTGGTGAATTTTCTCCTGCGTTTGTATGACAAAATGATACAGAAAATAAAGTATTGTTAGGTCTGAGAAAACGTGATGCGGACCAAACTCCATTTTTTTTATTAAACTTCAATTTCGAAATCTCATTTCATCCAATTACGATCTCTAAATCGAGGCCAACTCAAATTCCGACTACATACTCGGAACTTTTTGGTTTAACTCCTCTGAAATCGAAATGTCATTGTCGGTTCTGTGATTCAGGAGTTTCATTGAATTCCGACTTCTTACCCGAAAGCTCCACAGTTATTTCCACTAAGGAATTCTTAGTCGTTACTAAGAATTTCGTATTGTAAATCTACATTACGAATTGTAACTCAAAATTCTGGATTGTATTGTAACTTGGAATTCGTCTACTTTGGTGAGCGGTGATCACCATGATGACCGTGCCTACGGCGACATGACGCACGACGTATAATGTACAAACCTAATTCGAATTTAGTTGCCTCTACCGTAGTTCTTTTATATACATCACATTGATTGCTCTCTCTTGATTGCGACACATTTGATCTTCCACATGCCACCACCGTCGTGAGGGTTGAGAGGGTCTTTAACACTATATATATATATGTAAATAAGGAATCCGCATTGTGCAACAATTTCCCCAACACACAAGACATGTCATGTCTCGATACTAATAAGGATTCTCACTCTCCCTCAAAATTATCATTCGAACAACCTCGAAAGTCATCTTGGCCACTATATCTCCATGCTATACTAGAATTGGTTCATCCGATCTAAACATGTTATATCTTCTTCCATCCACAAATAAGCACCTACTCTAATCATCTTCCACTCTAAATAATTTTGAGCCGATACTATTCGGGCCACCGTATGATTCGAATTAAACAAAAAACAAGATGTCCGCCTTCTGGCACTGAGAAGGCGTTCATGGAGTCTTCCTTCGTTACGATAATTTGGATTCTCAATTGCTTTCTGTTTTCACCTCTTGGAGCGTATGAAGGAAAACTCTTAGGATCTTCGAAGAACATCGCGCGTATCTAGAAAGAATAGGGAAAAGAGGTACGTGTTGGAAGTTTTTCTGAACTTTTGATGGTGATGAGTCCAAAGGAATACTTCCATCGGAGAAGAATTCCAAAGCATTGACGTTCTATATACGAACGAGTTTTCGTAGAGTGTTGTTCGACGTATTCCAAGGTTGATGCTATCGATGTTCCTGAATACTGGGAAATATCATCAACTTTCACTCAACGATCTTTCATTCTGATTGCCAGTTATAGTTGATGAGAAGGATACATGACGAGGTGGTTGAAATCTACTCTAGAAAGTGAGCTGAGTTTGATTTTTTGAACGATATATGTCAAGGGGAATCCAATCATGGCATTCTTACTCATTGTCGATTTCACGTTTAATTTTCCTCATCTACAATGTTATATTATCTGCATTCTTTCGTAGAATTTTTATTTATTTTCCCATTCTCTATGTTTGAGAATTTACAACATATTGTATATCCATAGCGTAGAAGTTCTGCCAATCTCTAATTTTGTTGAAGTGGTGTTTATGATGATTGAACATATCCAAATTCATTATGTTGTAGAATCATCTTGTATGAGTCTCCTTGTCCTATTTTTGGAAAACTCATCTTGCTTCATCTTATCGCCCTCGATGAAACATACATAAGAATCCCAGAGGAATGGGCCGATCAAAAACTTTTCGAAAATTATCACATTCTAAGATATCACTCTGTAGGTCATCATTTCGAAACGGTGGGATAACGAGAACATATTGGATGTTGTACTCAATGTAATGAGCTATCAGAATCTCGAAGAATTTGAAATTGGTTGATCCAATCCAAAGTTATGACGGTTCGAAAATGATGAATTTTTTCCTTGTCTCACTTCAAATGTGAGGCAGTAGATGCGTACAAACCCCTCACCATGTCCCCAAATGAAAGCAGCCTATTTTTATATTATCATTCTACAGCTCATATTATTTTCACTTTTTTCTCATATCAAACTCTCCTTATGATAGTATGATATTGAGGATAAACACGTCATCTGAGGAATATTTTGAGGAAGTGGAAATTAATGAATGACATTTCAATGGCAGCAACTGTGAGAATAACTTTTTTTTTTTCTGTAGACGAACGGATGAATTTTCGAAATCTGATTTTTCAATCGATAATTTTTCGAGTATTTCATGCCCTAGGATTTTTTTATCGCGTTGTACTGTTTTGTGGACATTGTGAGTCAACGGCACAGGGCATCAAGGTACACATAACCCTATGCTAATTCACTTTTATGCATTTCAGTGTATGATGAATGACCAAAATACCTCTTACTAGGGAGGAGTTCTTGCACTTGAAAGAGTTTACAGGTGAAATCGTATGTCTATGAAGCGATTGCTATTGTTTATTATTCAATATGACAGAGTTCAGAGAATTCTCTTTATTTTTTCTCACTTGTTCCTATTTGGGGACATGCCCGTGAGCTCAAAAGATCATTTCAAATTGAGAAATGATCATACCAAAGAAAAATCAAAGAAAAACCCATGGAATATGTATAAAAATTCTCAGATTTTCATCATCGCAATCATAAATTTTTGAGCGAGAGGATTAAATCAGCGGTATAGGTCGAACCTTCCTTAGCAGATGTCGATTTTGTGCAGAAACAACATATCACACTTAACCAAGAGGAAATAATTACTGGCTCATTCATCTCGTAGAAGTCGTAGACCCTCAAAGCCCTTCCGCGATGCCTGATGACCCTCCAAGAAAATTCTTTGCTCCGTGAACGCGTCCGCGTATTTTTCAGACGATCGGTATAAATTTCCCAAACGACACTTGTTGGATTTTCCGGATCCCCCAAAACCTATTTGTCTCTCTTTCTTTCTCTACCTCTCTCTCTCTCTTACTCGATGTCGTGACGCTAGATGTGTGCTCGATGTTCAAGGGCATAGCAAAAAAACGATTGAAAGAATGGTTGAAATTGGCTGTGAAAGTTTTTTTGAATCCATTGTTTTTGTATGGAAAAGAATCTTTGATAGAGAGTTGAAGTGTTGTCATGAACGTTAACGTAAACGTAGAAATTGACAGCTACGCATGCGCATTTTCCAATTCTTCACGTTTGCGTTGTTAGTGGGCTTACGGGTGTACGTTATCTCACGTTCCTTCACGTATACCTTGAATATCAACGTACGTTAACCAAACTATACTCGAAATATGCCGATGAGTCAAAATTATCAAATTCGAGATCACCAACGAGTTCTGCATCAAGGAGTCTTCTAATTTTGACAGGAATAATTGTTCGAATCTAAACACACAACCAAAAATGACCAATACAAACCGAAAACAAAATGTATCATGACGTTATGATGACAGTGACGACCAAAGTGGCGACTTCAACTCAATTTAACGACAATACGTAAACGTTATTTTTCGTACGTTAACGTCTACGTGGAGGTCTACGTACAGTGATTACTTCAACTCTCTAATATTGGTTGTTTTCATTTCTTGCTATTTGACAAAACTTACTTTCAATCCGAGTGAATTCGAACTCTCTATTCGATTCCTATTATTTTCAGTCTGTTCAAAGGTGGCCATGTACTAGCTGTAAATCATTGCTATGCCCTTGTCAATGTTGCTTCTTTTCATTCATACGACCAATCAGGACCAAAGAATTTTCTAAGATACAAAATTATTGATTTTTGTTTGATACTAACA